CCTGCTGCCATCAGAGTTACCGAGGTTCGGAGTTCGAGATGACGGTCGGGGCGTCCGGTCCTGGGCACCCTCAGTCTTCAGCCGCCAGGCCAATCAGACCCAGGCCTGGACTGCCTGTTCCGCCAGCCCAGGGAGGGAGGAGGACCGGCTCTGCGCAGTCCGTCCGCAGGCCGACTCCCAGTGGGGCCTCCGCATGGAGGACACGGGTTAGGCGGTGGTGGGGGTTGGGGCATTGTCTCGCCCAATGGCCAGTCTGATCACACTTAAAGCAGGGACCTGGGGGTCCACTCTGCTGACCCTGGTGGGTGCCCTTCTTCTGTCCCCTGAAGGGGTTTGCTGACCGCTTTGATTAATAGGCTCTGATGGCAGAGGCAGGCATCTGGGTTCTGCTATTTTTTGCTGTTTAGCCTCTTCATCGCGATTATTGAACCCTTAAAGGCTAGATTTAGAAGTTCCTGTTGAGGGTTTGAGGGCCATCTTCCAGTTTTTGTAATTTTCTCCTGATGCCTGGGGCTGACTGAGAGATGGATCTCAGGTTTACAATGACAGTCCCTTCTGGGCTGGTGGGACCTGAGTTGTTACATCTTCTCGCGGCCTGTGTAAGGGGGACGGAAAGGCTGCAGGGTGTTCACTCCTTTCCTGGATTATTTCGCAGTGAAGGATCCTAGTCTTTTATTTATTTGGGACAAATGTGAGAGAGAGAAGGGGACATGAACTCTGACAGTCCCTTCAGCTCCCGCTGCTTCCCTCAGGGGTCGTTCTAAAATGGGGGCCAACATAGGGGATGGGTAGGGACCAGAGATGGTTCCAGATTGCATGTGTGAGGGAGTCATCTGTGGGGGTAGAGGAGTCGGAGCCGGAGTAGGCGTTCAGGGTAGGGTGGGGGCCACAGAAGGGGCTGGAGGAGGAGGCTCAGGGTAGGGTGGGGGCCCCAGAAGGGGCTGAAGGAGGAGGCTCAGGGTAGGGTGGGGCTGCAGAAAGGGCTGGAGGAGGAGGCTCAGGGTAGGGTGGGGGCCACAGAAGGGGCTGGAGGAGGAGGCTCAGGGCAGGGTGGGGGCCGCAGAAGGGGCTGGAGGAGGAGGCTCAGGGCAGGGTGGGGGCCGCAGAAAGGGCTGGAGGAGGAGGCTCAGGGTAGGGTGGGGCCGCAGAAGGGGCTGGAGGAGGAGGCTCAGGGTAGGGTGGGGCCGCAGAAGGGGCTGGAGGAGGAGGCTCAGGGTAGGGTGGGGCCGCAGAAGGGCTGGAGGAGGAGGCTCAGGGTAGGGTTGGGCTGCAGAAAGGGCTGGAGGAGGAGGCTCAGGGTAGGTGGGGGCCACAGAAGGGGCTGGAGGAGGAAGCTCAGGGTAAGGGTGGGCTGCAGAGAGGGGCTGGAGGAGGAGGCTCAGGGTAGGGCGGGGGCCACAGAGGGGGCTGGAGGAGGAGGCTCAGGGTAGGGTGGGGGCCGCAGAAGGGGCTGGAGGAGGAGGCTCAGGGTAGGGTAGGGTGGGGGCCGCAGAAGGGGCTGGAGGAGGAGGCTCAGGGTAGGGTGGGGGCCTGCAGAAGGGGCTGGAGGAGGAGGCTCAGGGTAGAGTGGGGGCCGCAGAAGGGCTGGAGGAGGAGGCTCAGGGTAGGGTGGGGGCCGCAGAAGGGGCTGGAGGAGGAGGCTCAGGGTAGGGTGGGGGCCGCAGAAGGGGCTGGAGGAGGAGGCTCAGGGTAGGGTGGGGGCCGCAGAAGGGGCTGGAGGAGGAGGCTCAGGGTAGGGTGGGGGCCGCAGAAGGGGCTGGAGGAGGAGGCTCAGGGTAGGGCGGGGGCTGCAGAAGGGGCTGGAGGAGGAGGCTCAGGGTAGGGTGGGGGCCGCAGAAGGGGCTGGAGGAGGAGGCTCAGGGTAGGGTGGGGGCCACAGAGGGGGCTGGGGGAGGAGGCCCTGCTGGAGGGGCTGAGGGAGGAGGTGGAGCGAGATCACTGGGGCAAAGGAGGAAACAGGAGCAGGTAGGCGCTGTCTTCAGGAGTTCTGGAGGGTTAGAGCGCAGCAGGAAGATCTGGGAGGGGGAGCAAGAGTCGCATAAAGAGGGGTGTGATCTGAGTGCAAAGGGGCCTGGATGTAAGGAACCTCAGACCATTTTTCTTGCCTTTGACAGAAATTGTCTAGGTTGGTAGAATGTCGAAAGTGCCATTTCAGGCTATTGTGACCCATTGTATTGAGGCCACTCAGTGTTGCAGTAAAAAATGAGTCATTTGGGACGTAAGTCCTGAGCACGACCTAGGGTCTGTAGATTTTTAGGAGACATCGTAGGGGTGTTGTCCATGTTGTGGTGTGAGATGTCATGGCCTAGCGGTTAGGCAGATACACTAGAGGAAGAAGAAGGTGTCCCCGCTCCTCCCCTAGAGTAGAGAGATGTGCAACTCACCTGTACCAGGTGTCCCTCAATATATGATAAGCTGAGAGAACCTGGTTCCCGAGGAGCATGTCCTAACCAGCACTGAGTTTTTAGAAGAACAATCACACGTGTGTGACTGAGAGACCTGGCTCTCATGTCCCGGACAGGGGATAACGAGATAGCTCGGAGAATCAGACTGGTAGACAAAAAACACCCACCAGTGAATTAGTGTCCAGTGTTGATGCTGGATCGGCAGGAAAGGTTGGAGGTTCAGTATCTGGCTAAGGGTGTGATCCATCCCGGTCTGACAGGAGACCCAGAGGACTCCAGGGGCCACCGCTGCCCCCTGTGTGAAATCCTCACAGACCTCTCAGGTTTTGGCACCAAATAAAAGGTCTGAGCTGGCGGAGATCACACCCACAATGCAAGGCCAGTGTAGAGAAAAATGGCTTTATTGCATGAGTCTGGGTGCAGGCGGGCTTAGTCGAGGAGAGTTCAGCCTCAAATTAAGGTTGGAGTGTGGGTTATATACCCTACTTTTAGCTTCCAGCAGTTCTGCTGATGTACTTTGGCCCATTGTCCACTTTGCTGTAGGGCTGGTCTGGTATCTCGTCCGGCATCTGCTGGGTTATCCATTGCCTTTTGGATAATCCAGATAAACCTTATCCATACTCAACAAAAGGCTGAGCCCAGGTCATTCAAGCAACACAATTTTCACAGTTTCTGCCTTTTGCAAACTTTTACCTTTACCCTTTAAAACATTACTAACCCTTTCAGGCTACTTACACTATCTTCATTGTTTTGGATTCTTTTTTTTGCTTATATTTTAAATAGATGGTTTGCTTCTTAGCATCACCCACTCTACTACTGATTCCCTGTAAATTATTTTATATTTTCGTTATTGCACCTTTCATTTCTGACTGGTCCTTTTTTATGCTCTTGAAGTTCTCACCAAGTTCCTTGACATTCTCACTAAGTTCCTTGAAATTCTAAGTTCACTGAGCATTTTTATAACCAGTGTTTTGAACTCTGCATCTGTTAGATTGCTTCTCTGTTTTGCTTAGTTCTTTCCCTTCTGAGCTCTAGTTTATATCTATAATTACATTTATTTTCAAACTGAACAAACAACATATGATCTTTCTCTAGGTTTTCCTTCTATAAAAGGTGATTTCATTTATCAGTTGCCATGTGTCAACTGAGTCATCTGAGTTTCTCTATGTCACACACATTCTGTAAGTTCATTTCTCTTTCAAAATGATTCTCACATCTGTTCCTTTCATTTTATTCTCATTGCCTCCAAATTAGTTTCGGCTCTTGCCTTTTTATGGCTATATCAGTACAAAGTTTTCTAACTGACCTTTTAGCCTCCTTTCACTTGTGTAAAACACCAGATTACTGTTTCCGAAAGAGAACCCACTTTATATCTCTGCTGCTTATCAAATAAATAAAATAAAAGCTCAAGACTCCAGAACCCTGTTTTTTTTTTTTTAATTTCAAACTTATTTTCTTTTAATACCCTCAGTGTTTGGCAAAGTTAAACTATTCAGATACCACCATTTGTCATAATTTTTGCCATATCGAAATACAACCTGTATTATTTTTTACTTAATATTCTTCTTTAAATTGACTCACCTTTTTACTTAGTCTTATAATAGCTGAAATATAATGTACTTGAAGAGCTAAATACACTTTTTAATCTACTTCACATAAAAGTAAATATTAAATGTCACTATTAAAATGTTTACTTGGGTACCACTTGAAATCACCTTACGCATCAGTGGTTGTCTGGACACTGCACATGAGGGAACCTGGCTGCACACAGATCCTCTTCTCTGCTGTTGTTACAATACATTTTCCATGCTCCTGCCTTGTTTTTGGTTCCCTCATTTTTTATCCCAGTAAACTAAATTTAGTAAATTTTGTGGTAGGCAACAAGGATGGAGAATGATAAAATACCGATCTTCCTTCAAGGAGTTTGTAGTCCAGTAGAAGAATTAATAATCCAGGGGCCTCAAACAATACATATATCTTACCTGTCTTTTTCTAATGTCCAGTTTAAACTCTACTGCTTATAAATGTCCTATATAGATTATCTCTAACCAAAGAGATTTTTCTCTTCTGAAATTTTCTCTGTATTTACTGCTCTGAATCATTTTTGATGTTCAGATTTTTAATATTGTTTTAGTGTTCTCATTTATATTTATCTTCTTGATGAAGATATTTTTGCACTCTTCTTTGGATATTGCATTTAGTAGGGACTGAAAATACTTGTTTGGTTAAGTAGGTGTATGCTGTACATCTTTGAAAAAAAAAAAGAACTCTACATTTCTGTAATCAGGGTTTTATTTGAGAAAAATTGTATTTCCTGACAAGACATATCATGAACATACATTTTGAAAAACTCACATTTGGAAGCTGAAATTTGAGACTAATAGATCTAAAAGAATGACACTTTTGAAGGGTCTTTGGCCAGATTGCAAGCAAAGAAACAGGAACTTTGTGACTAAAGATAATGTAAAGAGGCTAGCATTTTAACTATACCACAAAGACTGGGAGCTGGTTTTGAAGTTGATGTGTTGGAGGAAAATTATTCAGTTCTATTTTGTTAGTTTGTAAAATCTGGTGCTATTTTTCTTTAATGTGACCTTATTTATTTTCCTTTTTCTCCCCAGCACCTCCACTTTGCGCTATGCCCTTGTCCACCTTTACTTCATCACTTTTTCCCATAGAAACTTCTTTTGTGTCCTTGCTCTCCTTTTTGTCTTTGTCTCCTTTTTTGTCATCACCTCCCTTCTTGTCCTTGTCCCCAACACCCTTCTTGTCCTTGTTTTCTTTCTTGTTCTCAACATCCTTCTTGTCCTTAACATCCTTCTTTTCCTTGTCCCCTGTCTTGTCCTTAACATCTTTCTTGTCCTTGTCCCCTGTCTTGTCCTTATCTCCCTTCTTGTCCTTCTCCCCTTTCTTGTCCTTGTCCCCTGTCTTGTCCTCAACACCCTTCTTGTCTTTGTCCCCTTTCTTGTCCTTGACACTCCCCTCATCTCTCTTCTTGACACTCCCCTCATCTCTCTTCTTGACACTACCCTCATCTCTCTTCTTGACACTACTCTCATCTCTCTTTATGACACTCCCCTCATCTCTCTTTATGACACTACCCTCATCTCTCTTCTTGACACTACCCTCATCTCTCTTTATGACACTCCCCTCATCTCTCTTCTTGACACTACTCTCATCTCTCTTTATGACACTCCCCTCATCTCTCTTCTTGACACTACCCTCATCTCTCTTTATGACACTACTCTCATCTCTCTTTATGACACTACCCTCATCTCTCTTCTTGACACTACCCTCATCTCTCTTTATGACACTACCCTCATCTCTCTTCTTGACACTACCCTCATCTCTCTTTATGACACTACTCTCATCTCTCTTTATGACACTACCCTCATCTCTCTTCTTGACACTACCCTCATCTCTCTTTATGACACTACCCTCATCTCTCTTCTTGACACTACTCTCATCTCTCTTTATGACACTACTCTCATCTCTCTTTATGACACTACCCTCATCTCTCTTTATGACACTACCCTCATCTCTCTTCTTGACACTACCCTCATCTCTCTTTATGACACTACTCTCATCTCTCTTCTTGACACTACCCTCATCTCTCTTTATGACACTACTCTCATCTCTCTTTATGACACTACCCTCATCTTTCTTCTTGACACTACTCTCATCTCTCTTTATGACACTACCCTTATCTCTCTTCTTGACACTACCCTCATTTTTGTCCATTTTCTTCTCCTTGTATTTTTTCTCTTTCATGTTCTTGTCCTCCTTTTTGTCTTTATCTCCCTTCCTGTCTTTATCCTCATTCTTATCTTTATCCTTCTCCTCATCTTTCTTTTTTTCTATGCTCACCCTTTTTTCACCTTTATCATTTTCACCATCTCCTTTCTTTGACTTGTCTTTATCTGTTTTCTTTTCCATGTCCACCTCTTTCCCAGTATCTTTAGTTTTGTCTTCTTTTTCACTCTTCTTTTTCTTAATCTGACGTGTCTCAGGAAACTCTTCAACATTCACTCCAGTTTCCTGTTTTTGTCCCTTTTCATAGGTTTCGTCAGGGCCACTTGGTTTTCCCTTGTGCATGTATTTAGGACCACTTAGGCCATTTTGTGATGGGACTGCCTGTTTTGGTGTAGTTTTCTTTGCTTCTATAGTGACACTTTTTGCCTCTGTCTTTGGACTTTCTCCCAGATTATCTGAAAATATAACAAAGCATATGATAAAAGTGCATAATTCATAATTTTATAATTTTTTCCGTTGTCATTTTTTATCAGACACGTTTACTTTGAATTGTTTGAGGCAATAATTTTACCCCCAATAATATAAAATTTGTGAAGCTGTATACACACAACAGATTAGATAAGAGGCCCTTGAAATACAGAGTCTTCAGGAATTGAACTGAGAAAAGGGAAAAATACAACATGTAGGAATTGGTAACTCAATATAAAATGACTAGAGTGTATGATTAAAATTAACAGAGCTATAGATTAAATAGGAGAACTTTTTCTGAGAAAAAATTATTAAAATATAAATTGATCTTAAATGTCTGCTTATATCATGTTTTAATGCCCTTTCCTAATTTAATCTAGAGCAAATAGTATCATGAGTTACTAAAGTTGACTAGGAACATACCCTAAGAAGCCTGAAACACCAATCAGAAAGAATATATGTACCCCCATGCTCGTAGCAGCACTATTTACAATAGCTAAGATCTGGTAACAGCCCAATTGTCCATCAGTAGATAAATGGATAAAAAAGCTGTGGTACATATACACAATGGAGTACTATGCAGTTGTAAGAAAGAAAGATCTCTTATTCTTTGAGACGACATGGAGGGACCTAGAAAGTATTATCCTAAGTGAAACAAGCCAAACAGAGAAAGACAAATATCATACGATCCCACTTATTTGTGGAATATAATGAACATAATAGTCTGAGGAATGGGGTAGTCCCAGAGACATGGAAGTGGGGTACAGACTGACAATCCCCAGGAGAGGGGATGGTGGGGGAGAGATAAACCACAGAACTTATATGCATGTATGCATGAACAATGGACATGGACAACAAAGCTGGGGACAGGGCGGAGAGGGAGTGGGAAGGGGGAATCAGTAAGGGAAAAAGGAGAAACATCTGTAACAAAAATAAATAAATTATTGAACAAAAAAAGAAAAAAAAAGTTACTAAAATTGAAAAAAATTATTTAAGCATGTAATGAGAGTTAAGATTCTCCCCAAATTGGGAGTGGGTCAAAAGTTTATCGAGAGCTCATGTTGGGCATTATAGTGGTACCCCTTGAACAAAGTCCCAGAAACCTGACACTGGACACTCAGATTTATTCAATTGGCTCTACCCACAGGTAGATGATAATTATTTTGTAATTGCATCTTCCCTTTGGCTGGAGTCTAGGTGGTTGTTTTGTGTTGGGTGTTGCAGTACCTGTAATGGGCACACTTATCCCTATTTCTCTCATCTATAGAATATTCTCAAAGAAAAGTTAACATGAAGATGGTGGAGGGCAGGACCGGAGGGAGGGTGAGTGTGTGAGAGAGTGAGCAAGTGTGTGAGAGAATGTCAGTGGACTTGAAGGTGGATGACCAAACCCAAGAAGTGCAGAGCCGCAGAGCAGAAAGTTCCTGTGCTTTGGACGGGAGCAGCCAGCTACCATGGTAAGTGGCCCTTCAGGGCACTTCTCCCTATGCCACAGGGACTTGCCACCATTTTGGAAGATCCTCGGTCTTTCCTGGGAGGAGGCAGTGGGAGTGGCTAGGGTTTAGCAACCTGAGCCCACCAGCACACCTGGCACCATCAGACCAGTGAACACTCTGTCAACACAAACCAGTGCACTGTAGTGGAGCTCCCAAAGTGCCGGTTGCAGAAGCCACAGACAGCTCGGAGCCCAGCACCATCCCCCATAGCAGCAGCCTAATCAGAGTCGAGATATACCCCCAGCAAGAGAGGCTGGGAAGCAGACATCCATCCCTAGACAACAGAAGCACAGACCAGCAGCTGAGACTCATCCCCAAAAACTACAGCCAAGGCTGAGCAGGAGTTGAGCCCCATGGGGCAGCAGCACTCCTCAGCCACCATCGGTGGGACCTGGGGCTCCACAAAGATCTGTGTGGTCCAGTAGCTTACAAGAGCAATGGGAAGCTGGGACCCAGAGAGACTGGTGTGATCCAGCTGCCCACCCTCGCAACCTGCAGGGTGCGGGGGCATTAGAAAGGCCTGTGTGACCCAGTAGGGACTGTGCAATCCAGTTACCTGCGGGACCTGTGGAGTGCTTAAGCACCAGAGAGGACTGTGTGACCCAGCAGGAACTGTGCAATTCAATTAGCTGCAGGACCTGCGGGGTGCTGAAGCACCAGAAAGGACTGAGAGACCCAGCAGGGACTGCACTATCTAGTTACCCACAGGGCCTGTGGTATGCTGAAGCACCAGAGAGGCCTGTGCGACCCAGTAGCTCATAACATAGGCATAGAGCCTGATCCCCCGAAGAGACTCTGCGATCTAGTTACCTGCAAGACCTATAGGGATCAGGGGCACCAGAAAGGCCTGTGTGACCCAGATGCACACAAGATAGGTGTAGAGGATGTGAAAATGGAGGCAGAGTGAATAGAAGCTATGCAGACGATCTCCCAGGACCAAACAAGAATTACAACTAAAATAAAAACAAATTCTTGGAAAAAAGCAACAGAAAAGCAGCAGGAAGGGACCATATAACCAGGGACACTGGTAGGATATGCAGAGGCGCGAGAGGGTGGCAGGCTGGAAGCCAACAGATAGCAGCAGTCTTAGCTGTGAGGAGCACCCTTAGGGAATAAAGACCAAGCCCGCTCCACAGCACAGAAAGAAAGGACAGAGTGCTAAAATACCCACAGCCACTCACCTGGGGGCTATGGCAGAGGGAGAGCACACTGGGCTCAAACTCTGTGGGGCCCCCCAGTATTTGGAGGGCACTCAGTTTTTGCTGAGTTTCGGCCACAAAGGACGGTGGCCAGTGTGCTCCTTCCCAGAGCTGTGGGGAAAAGCAGCGGCCCCATCTCTCAGAGATTCAGCCTTTCCCAGGTGAGGCAAAGAAATGCAAATTGAGGCTCATTAATAACCAGCATCTATCCCACCCTCTGGAAATCCTCTTATGCAGAACACCAGGGCTACATTCCAAGGCACTGAGTAACTGTGACTACTAGTCACCAGGAAAAAGCTAGAAGATAACTGAACCTTTTTAGGGCTTGCAAATCTACCCAGGAAAGTAAGACTTGACAGTGGTGTTTAATGTGGGCCCACCCAGGCTCATCTGAACCCAGTAGAGGGAGCTACAAACAGCAGAACACCAACACCCACAGGGAGTATTTGGCAGGCTCCAAAACCCACTGAGATACCCAAAACAGTGAAACAAAGAAACAAATCTGAAATGAAAAAACAAGAGAACTCTATCGAAGATGAGATCAATGAAATACAGCTAAGCAAGTTACCAAAGGTAGAGTTCAGAGCCATGATCATGAGGAAGCTCAGCAGCATGAGTAAGGACATCAGCACCATGAGTAAAGATATAGAAACACTGAAAACCAACCAAGTGGAAATGAAAAATGACATGGCAGAAATTAAGAACACACTGGAAGACCTAACCAGAAGAGTAAAGAAAGTTGAAAATCTGATCAGTGATTAGAAGATAGGGTAGAAAAAAATCAACCAATCAGATAACCAAGAAAAAAAACAATTAAAAAACAGGAAGATAGCTTAAGAGAACTGTGGGACAACTGGAAATGTAATAACATTAGCATCATAGAAGTTCCCAAAGAGGAAGATAATGGGTAAGGGTTAGAGAATATATTTGAAGAAATAGTGATAGAAAACTTTCCTAACTTGGTGAAGGAAGAAGGCATTCAAGTTCAAGAAGCACAGAGAGCCCCAAGTAAGAAGAACCCAAACAGGCCCACACCAAGACATAGTAATCAAAATGCCAAAAATTAAAGACAAAGAGAGAATGCTAAAAGTAGCAAGAGATAAGCAAGAGGTTACCCACAAAGGAACCCACATAAGGCTCTCAGCTGACTTTTCAACAGAAACACTACAGTCCAGAAGAGAGTGGCATGAAGTAATCAAGGTCATAAAAAATAAGGATCTGAATCCAAGACAACTTATTCAGCAAGGCTAGCATTCAAAATTGAAGGTCAAATATAAAGCTTTTCAGACAAAAAAAGGCTAAGGGAATATATTAACACCAAACCAGCACTTCAAGATATGCTAAAAGGACTGCTGTAATTAGTAGAAGAAATAGGAAAAAAAAAAAATAACCACACTAAACAAAAATGGCAATAAACAAGTACATATCAATTATCACCTTAAATGTGAATGGATTAAATTCTCCGATAAAAAGACACAGAGTAGCTGACTGTATAAGGAAGCATGACTCACATATATGTTGTTTACAAGAGACCCACCTCACAACAAAAGACTCACATAGGTTGAAAGTGAAGAGATGAAAAAAATCTTCCAAGCAAACGGAAAGCAAAAAAAGCTGGGGTAGCAATACTTATATCTGATAAAGTAGATTTCAAAATGAAGGCCATAACTAGAGACAAAGATAGCCACTACACAATATTGAAAGAATTTATCCAACAGGAAGATATAACCTTGGTAAACATATATGCACCCCATATAGGAGCACCAACATATATTAAAAATCTTCTGGAGGACTTCAAAGGAGAAATTGATAGCAATATAATCATAGCAGGGGACTTCAACATCCCGCTGACATCACTGAATAAATCTAGACAAAAGTTAACAAGGAAACAGAGGCTCTAAATGAAGCACTAGACCAAATAGATTTAATAGATATCTACAGAGAATTACACCCCAAAACTGCAGAATACACATTCTTCTCAAGTGCACATGGGACATTCTCAAAGATAGACCACATGTTAGGGCACAAACTAAGTCTCTACAAGTTCAAGAAGACTGAAATCATATCCAGCATCTTCCCAGATTACAGTGGCATGCAACTAGAAATCAATTGCAACAAGAACATGCAAAGACATTTCAACACATGGAGGCTAAATAGCATGTTATTGAACAATGAATGAGTTACCATGGAGATCAAGAAAGAAATTAAAAACTTCCTGGAAACCAATGAAAATGAACACACAACAACACAAAATCTATGGGATGCAGTGAAAGCAGTCTGAGAGGGAAATTC